TCATATTTGGAGCTATAGGATTCAGTTCAATGATTCCATCCATTTGTTAGAAGCGGAAAAGAAAAAAAAAAGATTTGATTCATTTGTAACCCTATCAGTCAAAGAATGTAGTAATCATGAAGACTATGATTACTCCCTAAATAAATACACTGTGATTAGATGAGTGCACGCTGATAACATGTAAAACATCAGTTTTTATAGGGTAATAGCATATAAAGGCAACTTTTGGGGTTTAATATTAATAAAAGTAATATATTTAAAATATATAAAAAATAGGCTAACTTTTGAAGGCAAAAGCCTATTTTTAAGGCAAAAATAGGTTAACTTTTTTTAAATATATTGCTTCTCTCTCTCTCTATAATTATATATATATATATATTAAAACTAGTACTGCCATGTCACCATAGCTCTCATTTGAGAGAAGCTATTTATCTATTTTCTCCATTTTTTGTATTTTTCTTATTTTCTTTTGTTCTAAAAATATAAAACTGTAATCATTGCTTATCTTGATTAGATTAAACAACCAATAAGATGCACTTTCCCACAACTTAAATAACCTCTTCACCTAAAATTTCTCCTAAACTACCTCCCACACTTTCTCTAAAATTATCTCTAATTCCTATTTATCTTCTAAATTATCTCTAATTCCTATTTATCTCCAAAATTATCTCTAATTTAGAAGAGAGTTTCTCTCCTAAATTATCTCTAATTCCTATTTATCTCCAAAATTATCTCTAAATTTAGTAGAGAGTTTCTCTCATGAATTATCTCTAATTCCTATTTATCCTCTCCCCTATTTTTTATCAATATCTATCTAAAGAAAAGTTTGGATTAAAAAATTTAAGAATTATTTAAATATTCTAACAAAACTATATAATAACTTTAAAATATTTATTGAAAACACAAAAAATAATTTTATATTTTTACAAAATATATCACGCAATTATGTACTAACAATTTAAATTATGTTTTTTTGGATTATCAATTTAAATGTTTTTCAAATAGTTAATAACATGTAATAGCTTTAAATAAATAAAATTCAAATAACAAAAAAATTTAAATATTTTTTAGATTATTTAAATATTTATCATAACTAGATTTTAAATAGTTAAATAACAAAATTAAGTAATAAATTTAAAAAAAAATCTTCAAAGTAGAAAAATAATTATAACATAATATTGAAATTAATAATAATTTAATATATTACAAAATTAATATGAAATTATGTAATAATAGTATAAATTATGATTTTATGGATAATTAAATTCAATAAATAATCAATATTTTAGATTTAAATATTTTACATATTATTTAATTATTTAAATGACTAAATATTTTAAATAATAAATTATTTAACATAACTAGATTTTGAATAGTTAAAATAAAGAATTATGTAATAACTTTAAAAACATTCTGAAAAATAGAAAAATAATTATAACATAATATTGAAACTAACAATAATTTAATATTTACTTAATATTTTAAATAACTAATTTCACTTATATCAAGTAATAATTCGATAAAATAACTTCCAAAACCATTAATATTTATTAATAATAATTTTAACTCTTAATCTGTATTTATTATATAATTATATATACCAAAATCAATATCTATTGTATTTAAGTAATTATTTTTTTTTGTGATAAATGTATTTTCAATGATCATGTATAAATTTATTTTGTTTTGATTTAACAAAAAACTTTCAATAATTATTGGAGATTAAATTACTATGATTGATTTTTTTAATTTAATTATTATACATGTTGTATTTATTGTATTTTTGTTATAACTTATTGATTAATTAATATTTATTAGAGATTAAACTATTATTCGAGATTATACTATCTATTGACTAAGTTAATATATTTTTAGTACTTAATGTATTTTTGCATTATCAATATATTTTCAATAATTGTGTGTTTTTTGTATAAATTTTTAATAATTATTGGAGATTAAACTATTGTTATTTATCGGAGATATGACTATTAATTTAAATAAAATTATGAGTGTTCATAAGTTGGCTTAGACATGTCGTAGGCTATTTGGCCAACAAAATTGACCTGGTCAGGTTAGAGAGTTGGTCAGTTGAAGCAAATTGACCTTTTGTGAAAATCGACCCACTCGTGTTGTATCGGTTTGGGTCGATTTTCATAGAGGATCAGTTGGTGCAAAAGATATAAACTTAAAAATTAAATTAAATTTTCAAAATTACAGTACAATTGTAGGTAAATGGTGGTCACTTAGACAATCATAACAGATGAGGTGTCAAACTAATACTATGCGAATGCCTGTAATGAGTCCATAACTCATCGCGCATTTACAATGAGTTTATAACTCATCACACATCTGTGATAAACTCATGGATGAAACAGGTTGTGATCAACTTTGGACCCGTACGGATTTGCGATGAGTTTAAATCCATCGCAGAACCGCGATGAGCTCCGGACCCGTGCGGACTTGCGATGAGTTTAAAGTTATCACATAATCACGATGAGTGTGAACTCATTGACCAACTCGGGTTGAGTTTGATCAGATTGTTTATTAAAAAGTTCATATATAAAACAATTATATACTCCTTATGTATTTATATTGTTTAACTTTCGCTTAAAAAAACACAGGTCCCCGTCACCATGCCTCTCCTTGCTCCATTCTCTCCACCCTACATTCTCTTTGACTTTCTCTCTTCTCCCCTTTCCACCACTACTATTAAACCATGTCACCCAACTACCTAAAAATATTCATATAAACTCTCTCCTAATGTTTTCATTTAAACAAATAGGAAAGTATCATGTTGCCCCACTCCCTAATGAATTCCTAAAATGCATCCCCCTAATCTATATCCACTCTCCCTCATTTAAAATATTCATATTAATTAATAAATAGTTAAATACAGTTAATATATAATCCCACCCATATTCAACGAGTATTAAATAGTGTTAAATACCAAAAATTAATAAATATTATTAATTAACTCATCAAAAACATTTTATAGAAATTAAAAACTCTTTAACTAATTTCTATAAAATTGAGAATTATATTTAACAATTATCAAAAAGTATAAAATTTTAGTTATTGTTATTATTATAATTAATAACCAAATACAAATGGGGGAACAAAATATTATAA